TTTTTAGGTATTTCACCATGCCGCAAGACTAAACTAAAGTATACTCGAATTTCTACACCGCTTCCACATTTTTATTTATTTTGACTTGACAAAAAAGTGTATTGCACTACGAGAATAACATTTATTTTGCCGTCTTAAAATATCACACCAAATTCAACAACCATGTAGTAAGCAATTATGGCTACCGCTGTCTTTTATGTTGATTATCTATCTAGAACCCTTCTGAGGGCTGGGAAACTCAACTTTTACTAGTGAGCATAAAATATGTGAAGGTTTTCTCGATTTAGACTCACCATTCTTGTTACGGCTTCCTGCCAACTAACGTTGCCGGACTTGTATTTGTTGATCGGATTTTAAACTCAACTGCCAGTCGAATTTTTCTTGTGCTGGCTGCGCAGTACAGTATGAAGTTTGCATCCCATCTTCGAGTTTAATCTATCAGATCATGACTTGAACAGCACCAAACTACCTTCGCCTTTACTACAATGGCGTCATTAACGATTTTGACCTTTTCAAGCGTCCAATCTGCTCACGTTCCCGTTCCACTCTCGTTAAACCCTTTTACAAAAATGACTGGAAATAAGCTGCCCAAACGGGAAGTACTCTTCCTAAGGCCTCGTAATAAGTGCTAATTCACAAGAAGCATCATCATGAAGATGGTATCTTTAGGGAAACCGTTTGACTAACTGACAGTGGAAAAATTTCTTACCTTCAAGACGCTTTGAACTTTGGGACCTCACTCTGTGAGACCACGAGTTATTTATGATGCCACCACTACTATTTATCAATTAAATTTCTTTCTTGTATGTAAAGCCAAACTTTAGGCCAGTATCATCTTCACCGCTTCGAGTTACGTATTTGATTTAGAATTAGGTTGGCTGTTCAGATTTTGTTGGTTGTTGAAAATTATAATGGAATTGGCGAGTGCATAGCGCTGCGACTGTTTAATTAGGGTCTCAATTTCTTGCTCTGAACCCGACTCATTTACGTCTCGTCCTTATAGCACGCCCAGTTAACTTTGCCGCTAACCTTTTCATGTTTTTTCAGTGTCGCCGGGGTTTAGGCATACCCCTTGAAAGCAATTAGTTTGACCGAATTCTTTTTCGTTCCTCCTTATCTAACTTGCCGTCATTTTAAAAATCCTATGTAAGTTGCTACAGCGAAAACTAGTGCACCTGTCTCGGCAGACAACCGCACTGGTGAATAAATTCGAAAGTTTTTCCATCTGTATTTTGAATTGCGGACTTCAGTGACTCCTGTCTGTTAATGATTTTTCCAATCGGACTGCAGTCCGCCACCAAGTCTATGGATTAGAAGTAAGAATGCCCTAAATTTTGAGTGTCGTTCAGTTAACGGTGAAATTATAAATCGATTTTGGTCTTAGGAGACGGACCTGCACCATTGTCTGTCTTTCAGTAAGTACAAAGTAAGTTATGGTATGAGGATAGCATGGCTAGAAATTACGACATTGGTTGAAGTGGATATTTTTAACATAAAATCTTTCTAATCGTCTTCAGTAGCTTATCCTATGCACAGTTAATCCACATCACTGTAGCAGCGGGGCTTTCAAACTTGGTAAAGATGTTACGATTAACTCTTCTGGAACTCGGGAATACCGGCACTGTTATCAACTGCCATAATCGTCTATTTCTCATTTCGCCTTTGCGTTTGACTCTGTCTATCTGAGTTCTCGGTAGCTGGTCCTGATACACCAAGGCACCCGCCATAAAGCCTATGATTCATTTAAGCCTATATTGCTGAGCACGCACTAAAGAGCTATTTTAGCTCAACTGTCCCCACAGGTTGTCTTCTCTCACCGGTCTCGTTCGATTACGTGAAGAACTAGTTTTTTTCAACATTCTGACTGTTTTTGTCGTATAGTAAGTTGTCCGGCTATTTCTGATCTTGCCTAGGCTAATGGCTAGCTTCGTAGTAACGTAGTATCACAGAAAACAAAGGAATTGTCCGGAAAATCAACGTAATCAACGCCTTCGCAGTTGGCTATTTCTGTCAGGGAATTGTTCCTGATGCAGTGGAGTTCCAAAATCAGTTATCTTGCACTGTAGCCCAAAAATATCTCAGTCACGTTAAGATGCCGGCTGTTGAACGACCGCCTGCATAAAAACACTAGAATGCGTATTTAAGTAGCATGTATTTCGCCTGTGGATTTTTGTCGCCCTTAGAAATTCAAATATCTCTAATGGAAACATTCTCCTCTGTTCTTATTTTCCTGTAAAAGTCTTCTTAAAATTTTATAATCATTTGCATATTCGATTAAAAAGCTATTTCAATGTCCGAATACCTTTGCATCCGACATGCCTTCAGGGTTTCACGAATACATGCTATATAAATTACATCTAATGAAAATCGCACATTTGTATATGTTCTTCGACGGTGTTCATGTAGTCCTCATAAACTTTTGCGAGATGTGGATCATATTGTATACTTTATACGCGGCATTAATAAGTAGAAAAGTACCATGCTTTATGAATTAATATTTAACAATCGTAAGAAATCTTAAAGTTAGAAGCTTTCTCAAAACAGCGACATACTCTTTTTCTGAGTATAACGTTTGAATAAGATGGCATATACTAGTTAGTAAGTAAAATAAGGCATACATTGTGTATGTTTTCTGTAAAATATATTTCAATATCTTAGGGTGACGAAAATCAATGAGAAATAAATACGCACTCAAGTAATCACTTGTACAGAGTATTGTTTATGCAGGCGACTGGAAAGAAGCTCGTTCAATGGCCGGCATCCTCACGTGACCGAAATATTTTGGCATTATCCTGCACAATAATCAATATTACAAACCTACTTAAGTGATTTGTTCGAATCGAAAACATGAGATTGTAAGTCTACTATGCTCAGTAAGTACAGTATTAAATGATTAGGAAAAAATATCAAAAAGTTTGGAAAGCGAGTCTCCCTATCCCCATTCTTCCTTTTTTCATATACTTAACTGAAATGGCTAAGTTTCTTTTAGAAGTTTCACTTAAGATCATGTTTTTAAGAATAATGCCGTTTATTTATACGATTATGACAAACTTTCTGTGTTTAGCGTTTCATGTTCGCCTAGTTTGTTACTTCTTAAGGTGTTTTTATACATCTCTTTTGGTTTTGGAGGCCAATCACACCTGCTTTTTCGCATAAATTGAGTTTTTGGTAATTCCCGTGGCATTAGCTTTTTTCAACCTCATACCCCTTCTTACAAAATTTCTCGATCTTTTTGTTCATCCTTTAGCAATACTACGGATCTGGGTTATTTTACTTGGTAACATGGCACTTACCGGCGGTGATGAAGCCTATGACGTTAGCCCTGAGGATTTTATTTCGGTGATCGATGAAGAAAACGTCTCGGGAATCATCAACTCGCAGGAGGCAATGATTTCGAAACTAGAAAAAACTAATGCCATGCTGCATACAGTTTGCGAACTCTCCACTGACCGGCTGGGCCCTATTTCTGCCCAGCTGAGAGCAAGCACGAAAACGCTGATTGCTCTGAAAAATGAACTTTCAGCCGTGATGAAGCGCACTGAATCCCTCAAGAGCGCATTTCAA